AAATGAACATCAGACACAGTGAAACTTATCACAGACAATCGGGAGCGCGATAATTGGTGGGATCGACATTAGCTCCAATGTACAGGAGCAGATACCCAGTGCATGTCGTAGCTGTGGATGTAAAAAGTACGAGAACGATCGTGGATCGAGCCTTCTCAGTGCCAAAGTGTGTGAGATTAGAGAGAAACTTTATAAGTTACTGTGCAAGATGTTCTCGGCAGTCCCGGAGAGAACTAAGGAGGAGTTAGAATCAATACTGGGAAAAAAGTTCATGGGATACGTCAGTGGGAACTTCAGTGACTTTGAAAGACAAAAACAGAGAGGATCAACCGTTACGGATTACAATACAGTAGATGAAAATGATGAAGTCCACCGAGTGATGATGGAAGTGGAACCACTACTGGAAGCTTCGGGAAAGCGTAACTGGAGGAGCATCATGCTGACACATGACGAGTTTCCTTGCAATTGCTTGCTGCAAAAATGGTGGTACCCCAAACGTAGTAGTCTGGTGTTGATCTGCGACTCTGGAGAGCTGCTCTCCATGCGTTTACCAGACTCATCTCGGCCCATAACAATGGTGATAGTGGGAGTTATGATGGCGATACGATGTCTGGAAGCCCATGTGAAGGAGAAGTATAGACAGGAGGCACCGACGAGAGAACAAATGCAGAAATTGGATTGTCTAAAAGATTTAGATCTTTTTGTGACAATGTGCAAGATTCTAAACATTCCGATGGAAGTTAAAAAGATATGGGCAAGGAGACGACTAATGCCATGGTTTAGAGCCAACATGACTGCATGGTTGTACGAGTATGCCAAGAAGCATATGTCGAAACACGGCAGAGTGTACAGCGTGTATCAGCTGGACGTTGGGGCAGGAGCTTTCAAGCGAGCTTTCGTGACTCATCGGAATGCACTGACCACCGCTGCAAAGAGATTTTCCAGGACAAGTGAACGTAATGGAAGAGAGAAGGAAGAGATGCTGAAGAAAGAATTGGAGAGAAACGTGACGTTGTGTCTCCACAACAGCTTCTGCAGGAACAGAGAATCTAAGGTGGATCCCCTACCTTGTTGTAAACAGAGAATAGAAGAGCAGAAGTGTTGGAGGACTGCTTCCAACAGCGCCAGAATAGCTAACGATGTGATGCAAGACACAGAAACTGAATGTGCAGAGTCAATATCGCAGCAGGAGGAGATGGAGCATTGACAAATGGCCGGAAAACAAGATGCAAAAAGAAACGAAATTAGAAGAATTTAGAAGCGTTCTGATTTTTCTTGAGCGTTAAAAGACGCTGAATATACCGCGTATTTTGCATTTTGACTTATCACCAGCTTTTTATTCGAGTTTGGAGCAGTTAAAGTGATAATGAACGCCGGATTGTGCAATTTTTTGTTGGTTGTTTTATGTCGTAAAAAAAATACTGCAGTCTTAATCCTGTTGGTACTTTATCCACATATATCACCTCATTGCCGCTGCTTATGCTTACTCTTTCTGAATTTTTTAAGACATCAATTATGGTCTTCTACAACCTGTAACTGTACTTAAAATACTTTCGGCCTGTTTATCATTTTTCTCTTCTAATACTTGAGCTTTACCACGTTCGGCCGGAACTTTTCCCTCGTCCGTTAATAGTTTAAGCTGTTCTTGTTGGGGCTCAGAATTTTTCGTTAGCGTTTCCTTTGATGCAGTAGTCTTAATAGTTGGATGATGTAATAAGGGTCTAAGCCGGTTAAGGTAGGATGATTGAGCGTTTTTATGTTTAATTCTTTTCATGAAGAACATGTGCTGCAAGGAGTTGCTCTTTAACAACTAAGTGTTTACATCAGCAGTCATTATTAAGTTGTGAGGTACTCAAAACAAAAAATGCCGCATTAGATTGAAATTTTTTAAACTCAAAATAACCGCAAAATTTTTGACAACACTGGTTTGATTAATTATTTGTATGCTGTCTCGAATCGTTCGATATTTGCAACTTTAATGGGTACGTTTCCATTGAATACATTCACAAATAAGTGTTATGATCTGGCGATTCGAAGTTTTTCTAATTAGACGTCTTAGCTGGTCAGGTTTCAGTTGTACCATATGCCAAAGAATGAATAAACTTTTTTTTTAATTGTGATTGGAGTAGTTTCTACTTTAGATGAAGGTAAATAAAAAAACTGTTGGCCCAGGCCGTGTGATATTTAAAGAATATCTCAAAAATCTGATGTACGGGGTCCATATTGATCAGAAAACGTCCGAAAGAGTCTCTGGTAGCTAATTCGTAACAGCTTTTCAAAAACTTTGATACATTCATGTTTTTTTTTCGTAGAGGATATAGTTGCTGAACGTCACGGGGCGATTTGAACAGAATGATGTGTGAAGTGTTCAAATCAATCGTACGCGACCATCGATTTTGTTGAAACAAGTTATGCTTGTCATAAATTGCATGTAAGACTCTATGTCTGACCGCTGTCGCTAATTGAACAAAATTCAAATCGTTATAGACGTCTTCACACGAATCATCTAAATCTAGACAAAGATTCTCTAAATTTTTTACAGATTCAAATCCGTTGATTTTCATGAATTTCACCTTAGGTTTGCGAGAATGAAGGTTGAATCTCTTTGTAAAGATATAGAGCGGTTCCAAATTTAGAGTAAAAAGTATTTCCCATCAAAATTTTGAAAATTAACTCAGTTTTTCCGGATCCTGATGATCCCACTATTGCAATGAAATTTCTTGTCGAAGTATCAATCACATAATTCATATCCTTGGGTTTGTTAATTTGTAACAACCAAAACGGCTGACATCGAGAACCAAACTGAAGTTTGTTTGCAACTCAAATTAAAGATAGAAAATGTGAGAACGCAGAAGGTTAGTAAAATTAGATTTACTACCATTTGCGCAACAAAAACTACTTCAGACCTTGGCAAAGTTACATTGTTACAAAACTTCCATGGTTGTTTTTTCACCGTTTGTCTCTGTTACTAATGTCGCATCAGGTTTATCTACTGCTGCTGCTGTTTCTGACATTTGAGAAACGTTTTATTTTACAGACTGTGTTAGACTTTTCCTCACTGTTAATGAAGCTTGTTAAAAAACAATAAAAAGAACTAATATTAAGAACAGTACAAAATTTCATAAGGTGTGAGTCTCTATCATTTATTCCATGAATTTCTAGAACATAGTTTGCTGGTATGTTTGTAGTTTTTTTTCGTAGAATTTTTTTTTCTTCACAGTATTCTCTATCACAATTATGTTAATTTCAACTGGCAATTCACTGCTGTTTAGATCCATCTGAACTCCTGGTTGGCGCTTGGGTACTAAGACTAGCTCGGGAAGATAAACTCCTCGCATGTTTGCTAGCATTTCTGATAAACTTGATGCTCTGAAAGTATTCAAATTGATCAAAAACTGGAAAATATCTCTTTCATGCAGACAACTTTTCTTCGAAAATCATAATTTGCTCCTTCCGCTGAACAATTTGGCCGCTGCAATCAATACGCTCTAATCTTGTTCATGAAATTTTATTATTACCCTCTGAAGTCATCTACGCACAAAGCTTTGAATTTGGTGATAGATGTGACCCCACTTTCGCTGATCTCTCGCTGTTGTTCCTTTTTCAACCAATCATAAAAAATCTTGTTTATCTTCAGGGCACAATGGTTCCTGGAGTTGCGATGAGATAAATGTCTATTGATTGCAACCTGGATAACTTTTGAAATATAGGTTTTAAACCCAAGAACAGCCCAAATCATCTAGGTTTTCAACCTTTCGGTCCAAGTATTTGGTCAAAAACGTTTTTTTCCATTAACGTAGGAAACGGCACTAGGATATCTCAACAAAAAAACTTTGAACTATTTGATTCAAGTTTATGTAAAGGTGATCACCATTTTCCCAATGCAGACCGTGTAAATAATTTGTTAACCAGTTGTAAAGTTTTTGTTTGAAGTTTGCCAGAATTTTGAAATTCACTGGAGGTAAAAAAAAATGACTCGTTCGCTGTAGTCTGAAGATGTTATTGCTAATTCTTTTTGACCTACCATGAACCAAAAAAATAATGCCTTCATTACACATTCTACACGTAATACTCAAAAATTACACAACGCGTGCATAGATTTTTGCGATTAAACTAGACATTTCCACACAAAGTCCAATAAATACCGTTTTTCTTACCATTCTTTTACCATCACACTGAAACCTTACCATTTCCTATCTTAATACATTGGGAAACCTATTCCCTGTGTAAATGATATGAAATTCTAACTCTTATACATAGGGATATCTATACACTATCCTAATACATGGGAAATCTAAACACTATCTTAAAACATGGTAAGATCGGACGCCGAAAAATTTTTCTGGAAAATACCACCTGAAACCTTACCACCTTAATTAGGAAACCTATTCCCTATCTTAATATATAGGAAGTCTTTTCCCTATCTCAATACATAGGTTGGTGACCGGATGCTTTATTCCCCATCTTAAAACTTGGGTCACCAACCACCCCATCCCCCCTCACTTCTGCTCGCTTTTCTACTACTGGTATAGCTGAAGATTTATTTCTAGGTAATACAAAAGGATGCAAAATAAATTTAACAAAACTTGGGTTCTTGATCAAAAATAAAAACAGGGGTTAGTTGCCTCAGATATCAGATATAAACGTAACATTAGTCCCACAATAGACATTTGTGTCCGGAAAATACCCAGACAAAACATCAACAGACATTTGTGTTATACAGTCGTTGAGCTCGAAATGGTATTTTTTGTCAGCTATTTAGTGCAAGCACTTAGTGTTCAACCCTCGTCAACTAAAAATAACATGAGTTTGAATACAAATTGAATTGTCAGAACTGGGGAAATTTTGTCTCGTACACAAATGTCTCGGAAATTTGTAAGCTTTTGGACTATTTTGTTTGGGACACAACCTTCTCTTGACACAATTTTCAATGCAACTAACCAAGATCTTAGCTTAAGCTATAGAGAGAAATAATGGTTAGAAACTTATAGGTTAAATTTTCACAGGTGGTCGAGAAAAATTTCGCCTGCATTAGTGACGGAAATTGCATCAATGTCCCTGTCAACCAGTGTCGTTAGATCTGTTTCTTTGTTCTCGGTTGAATTTTGACCAAACTTGGCCTCAAACTTTTTCAAGTTTTCGTCAGCCTCTTCTCTTTCTAATTGAAACAAATTGATCAGAATATCAAAGCAATCTGAGTTGGTAGGATTCATCAGCACTCCGTGGTGGGCAAACTTTAAAGCATGAATACGGAAGAACTTGGCAAATGATTGCTGTAAGCAACAATGTGCAGCTTCAGCACATTTATTAGCAATCAAGATTCTTTTATCTGCTAAAATAGTTTTCGGATCATTTTGCTGAAATTCGATTTGATATTCGTTTGTTAGTGTCTCTAGTAAGTTTTGTAGTTCTAGGATTTCTTTCATCGCAATCGATAATTGACACATTACATTATGGTCAGAATTCTGAAACAAAACTGAACCTTAAATTTTTTCATGAAATTAGCGCTGACTCACCATTCTACTGATACATAATTGAAGCAAAAATTTAGCAGGTATAATACAAAAAAAAAATTTTTTCTACAAATCAATCTTTTTTTTTGTCGCCAATAGAGAACACGCAAGCTGTATGATTTAATTTTTTCAAACTTTTGCTCACATTGCAAAATTGCAACAGTTAGATTAAAATAAAACTTATCTGATATTCATCGAATAAATTCTTCTATTTTGCAGTAGCCAGTAGCTATTTTTGTTGTGTTTGGTTGATTAGGCAAATGCAACAAAACAAAGCCGAAGGCTTAATTTGGCTCATATGTTAACTTGTTTCACTTATTTATATTCAATGCGCTCAAGATATTTACCATAAAATTTCTCAAATGATATATAAAATTGGTTGTCCCATGAGTAGGAATAATCTTTGGTCCTAGTTTGAAACACAAAAGAAGAGTCGTAACCAAATATGTACAAAACAATGTTTTGCCAAAATTTTGGTTGAAAACAAACAGCAAATTACCTGGTGAGCTCCAATCAAGTCCAACTTTTGAACTGCTCCAACTCGATTTTTGAGATTCGTCCAGGTCCAGTTTTCATACACTCGTATAAGGTTGAAACATTTCTCGGGTACTACATAATCCGATAATTCACCATGATCATATGATTTAGTGGCGTGAACTTTTTCCTGCTCCAGTTTTATTTTTGATTTTTGACAGATATCGATAACTGTTTCGTTCAAGCTTGAGAGATCTGGATTCAGCCAGAGAGACCATTTTGCGTACTGGATGCATAGGTACGAATAATCGAATTTGTCATTTTGAACAATGATTTTCAATTGTTTATGCAAGGAGTTAGAACAGTACTGAAGCATATCTGCTACCTTTTGCCTAGTAGCTACTGCTTGCTTTCTATCCCCACATTTTACGTGTTCAAAATATTCTAGGAAAAGCAACTGGAATGCTTCTAAGTGACATTCAAAAAGGTTGAATTCATTAGAAAAGTCTCCGGGACGCGCATCTACGTGAGCTTTGAGTACTGCTATCAAATCCCTCATTTCACTTAAATTACACTTGATACCATCTGTAATTCTCCTTTTGTACTGATCTAATTGAGGACATAGCACCAAAGGTCTGTTACAAAGTGCGTCTGTTTGATTTTGAAGGCCTTTACAGAATTGACTTATATCAAACAAAGGAACCGTCATATAGGTAAATTCTATAACAAAACAATTACTTGAGCCTCCAGAAACTGATCGATTCAATAATTGGAAACTGAATCTGTCGAATCTATTTTCCACAACAAATAGGAACGCGGCAATGCACTGCTGTTGATACCATTTCAGGGCCTCATCTGAACTCGTTTTTGCTTTATTTGTTAGATTCAGCACCGTTGTACTTTTTGCCTTAAAAGAGTACTGCTTAACTTCATTCGTTGAGCACCAACTTAGGCAACGTTGCGTAACTTCAGTCTCCTCCAAGCAAGTCAATTTTGGCATATTGCCAATAATGACAATAATTTTGTCTGGTCGACAAATTTCATCGTCTTCTAACACCGCCGTGATGTAATTTGAACAATTTTTTTCAGTAATATAAAATCTTCTGTTTTTTCTGGTGAGGTACAGCGACGTTCCATGCGATGAAAAGAAAAGAACAAGAATCTTTTTTAGTTTTTTTCTACTCATATGGAAAATTTCTCTGCACCTCACATGTCTCAAACGAATAACAGCAAAAATTCTGTAAATGTGCTAATTTTTCTGCTGTACGCAACAAAAATTAGCTTGCTCAAAATTACAGTCAACGCTGCGGACGTGGTTTCAAGGAAAAAAAATCAAAAAATTTCATTTGAAATTTAAGCAACTTTTTTGTTTTGCAGTGTTGAAAGTTTTTTCAGCAAAAAAAAAGAAATCATTTTTTTTCTCCTATATTTCCCTACCTTCGTCGTAATTAAGATACTGTTTTTAAGTTTTTAAGGGTAATAACTAAGACAAATATCTCCTTACTCTATATAATCTTCTAAATATCTATTTAGAAGCTTATGCAAATTTAACAAATTTATTCTCTATGAGAGCTATGAAACTCTAACAAAACAGTGGTTTTACCAACTGCAAAGTTTTATATAAGCTCCGCCAAGTTATCAAAGAACTTAAACAACGGTTTAAACATACTGGTATACAATTCGCTTGATGATATATAGAGCGTAAAGTTAATCTCCTCCAAAAACAAAAAAGCTTTAGAGCGATTTCTCACGTGACCTATACATTTAGTTGTACTTTAGATTCAGGCCGTAGTATTGTTGGTACGTAAAAATGTGAACTTAAAAAATCTCTCAAAAATTGTACGTACATTGACTCATTAAATCGATAAAACTAAAAGACCAGAGTCCAAGCGGTTCATCGCATCAATGCGGAGCAGAAAGATCTTACCCTAAAACTGTAGATTGCAGTTCAATATAAACATAACAAGTTTCGATTATTATACAACTGTGCATATTTTGTGATATAATATTATCAAAATAAGTACAAATGATTTATGATTTGGTTATTTTCAAGAAAAAAAACATCACTATAGAGCGAAATAAACAACTTATGAAACTTAAAAACTATGAGAGATTAGAAAATTATAATCTCTAAAACTTTCAAATTTTGTTGGGGAAAAAACTAGTTTAAAATCATGGGTAAATTACTGAGCCATGACTCTAAAAAAATGTCTGAACGAAAATGCGAGCATCGGATTTAAGAAGATTGGATAGTAATTTAAAAAAAGAATTGAAAGATCTTGAACTTGATGAGAACTAAATCACAATTCAAATATGCTATCCAGATACTAAAATGAAAAAATATGCGCGGCAAAACAGACTTATATTCAAGAAAATCTAGCCGAAAGTTTTGCTGGCAATATAAGTTGTAAAAGAAAACAAAATTGATTGAGTAAAGGATCATTATGAAACTAAAACAAACGCTAAAACCACTGGGTGAGTTTTCGATTAGTTTTTTTTGTAAATTTAGTTGTAAAAACACCCATTGAAAATTTTTTGCCAACAAGAAATTTGTTTCAAAATCCTTTTTTTAAAATACTGATGGTTGCAGAACAGTCCTAGTTAAAAGAAACAGTTTCATGCGAGAGAAATGGGAAAAAATGAAACAAGTGAAGAATGGCTCTGTTGGACAAGTTGTTTTCAGAAAAAAATAGCCTTGAACCCGAAGTAATTACATGTGTCACTTAATTATGTATCTTACTTACCTTTAGGTCATCGACTCAGATGACATCATTTTCAGGAGAACGAGTTCCAGTGTCTATCCTGGCTATCTGAATTTTTGCAGTCAAAACCTTTTAAAAAGAAATTGGCATGATTAAAAAATATTTGTTGTTTTTCACAAACGAGAAGAAAATTTTTTTCTTCTGACCCGACTCCATAATTAGTAATTTATAATTTTAAAACATGGAAGGCCACCGTACAGATTTGTAACTGAATCAGAGATCTCACGTGTTTCCAGTGCCGAATTGAAGTAAGACTTGTCGGTTGCAACTATTGCCAGGTTTGTTGTGGCGCGTGTTATTACCATAAGGAAACTATCAACGAAGTCCACAAGGTGTCGTCCGGTGAAATCTTTCTCTAATAAAAGAATAACCGTGCCGTACTCACTTCCAGTGACAACATCGCTAGACTCCAGTTGAATTATTGGCAAAAACTGACAGCCTTGAAGGTCTAGGTTATAAGAATTAGAGCGTAAAATTAATCCTTTCTCTTTCATACAAGCAACTAATAATATCTGAGCTTTTGGCGATAAAAACGATATTATCACAAGAATACTCGGCATAGCGTACGAAAGTGAAACAAATCTCATAATTGTCTCGATACATTTGTCAATGAAGGTATCAATTTTAAGACCATTTGCAGATTCAACATTTACAATATCAGCTCTATTAGTACCATCTAAGCTATGTGGTGGATTCCCGGATAGTTCGATAACCTTGTGGCTTCCAACTATGTTTTTGAAGATATTTTCGGCAAACCTGTGCAGTTGTTTTGTGGATCTCAAAGTTTGATCGAGCTTGAACTCCTGATAATGTTGAGATCTCCAGGTTCTAAAATCGGAATTTCCGGGTTCTTTCGACGAAGCAAAATATAAATGAACATTTCTACTGATTGTTCTGGATAGTTTCACAAGAGTAGGAGCAGATAGTTCTTCGTCAATAAAAACGATACCTCTTTGAAGTTTAGATAACTTTTCTAGTCTCCAAAATTCGATGTTTGAATCATTCAAATTGTTTTTCAGCTCTGAGAAAAGAACTCGAGCTTTGCCATCAGAACCGTCGCATATAATTACCTTGCACTGTTTATTCTCGTTTTCTTCGAACATACGACAGGCTAATTGCGCTAAGTAAATCATCAACATTGTCTTTCCTGATCCTTTTGACCCGCTTACAATTATTCTTAGCGGTTTGAACTCATTCGAGAACGTTGTGGTCGTTGAAGTTTTTTGAAGTGATATGAAGACGGCAGCAATAATAACCAATTGTTCTTTTGTCCAAAGAATTACCCGTGTTTTTGCACTCCCTGTTTTGTTACATTGCTCATTTACGCGGCCTTTGAGATCTTGTTTATCGTCTTTTCGGTCTGTTAGTACTTCGCTGAATTGTTTTTCAATCCATGAATCCAATTCACTCGTTTTAACCTGAATGGACTGGATTTCATTTGAAGTAAACTTTTGATGGATAAGTGAGCTGGATCCTCCCATTGAATTCAGTGCGACAAGTCGGGCAACCAAAACGTCAAAATGGTAAGTTTCATTCAAGTCGGGAATTTCTTGCAAACTGTTTTTCCATGCCGAAGCGAAAATTTGGAAACTCGCTTTTTGAAAGACGAAAACTTTGTTTGTGGCACCAATTTGTGCATTAACATACCAAGCGCTGTCCTGTGAAAGTTTCGCTATGGATGTGTTATCACCGGGAATATAGCAAATAACCGCATGAATAGGAACGAGTGGAAGACAACTGTTCCTAGAAAGGTCTACACAAGGAGTGTTATACAATGATAGGAAGCCTAAGAATTTTGCGTGCTTCATCGTTTCCTGTTTCAAATTTTCAGTTTCTTTTCCTTTTTTGATGGTTTTGTTTTTGACATTAAAAATGAACAAACCTTTTTGTGGGTGAGCAACAATCATGTCAATTTCTACGCTACCAGGGCCCCCTTTTTCAAAAAGGTGACTTCCATCAACATTTGGAAAAATGATAATTCCTGCGTCTTCAGTTAATACTTCATTCGTAAACAGTTTATAAATTTTATTTTCTCCTTCTTCTCCTTTTACAAGCGATTTGTAATGAGTTTGCAGTTCTTTGCTCAAATCTACATTTCTCACCATAATGTGCGGGATTTTAATACACGGAACTGAGATTTTGTTCCCAGGTTTTTTCCACTCTGGGTACTGAATTTTCACGAATTCCAACAAAGCATTGTTTCGATCAAGTTTGATTTCTGCCCCTCTGAATTTCTGCCCCTCTGCCCCTCTGATTTTATTATTACCCTCTGAAGTCATCTACGCACAAAGCTTTGAATTTGGTGATAGATATGACCCCACTTTTGCTGATCTCTCGCTGTTGTTCCTTTTTCAACCAATCATAAAAAATCTTGTTTATCTTCAGGGCACAATGGTTCCTGGAGTTGCGATGAGATAAATGTCTATTGATTGCAACCTGGATAACTTTTGAAATATAGGTTTTAAACCCAAGAACAGCCCAAATCATCTAGGTTTTCAACCTTTCGGTCCAAGTATTTGGTCAAAAACGTTTTTTTTCCATTAACGTAGGAAACGGCACTAGGATATCTCAACAAAAAAACTTTGAACTATTTGATTCAAGTTTATGTAAAGGTGATCACCATTTTCCCAATGCAGACCGTGTAAATAATTTGTTAACCAGTTGTAAAGTTTTTGTTTGAAGTTTGCCAGAATTTTGAAATTCACTGGAGGTAAAAAAAAATGACTCGTTCGCTGTAGTCTGAAGATGTTATTGCTAATTCTTTTTGACCTACCATGAACCAAAAAAATAATGCCTTTATTACACATTCTACACGTAATACTCAAAAATTACACAACGCGTGCATAGATTTTTGCGATTAAACTAGACATTTCCACACAAAGTCCAATAAATACCGTTTTTCTTACCATTCTTTTACCATCACACTGAAACCTTACAATTTCCTATCTTAATACATTGGGAAACCTATTCCCTGTGTAAATGATATGAAATTCTAACTCTTATACATAGGGATATCTATACACTATCCTAATACATGGGAAATCTAAACACTATCTTAAAACATGGTAAGATCGGACGCCGAAAAATTTTTCTGGAAAATACCACCTGAAACCTTACCACCTTAATTAGGAAACCTATTCCCTATCTTAATATATAGGAAGTCTTTTCCCTATCTCAATACATAGGTTGGTGACCGGATGCTTTATTCCCCATCTTAAAACATGGGTCACCAACCACCCCATCCCCCCTCACTTCTGCTCGCTTTTCTACTACTGGTATAGCTGAAGATTTATTTCTAGGTAATACAAAAGGATGCAAAATAAATTTAACAAAACTTGGGTTCTTGATCAAAAATAAAAACAGGGGTTAGTTGCCTCAGATATCAGATATAAACGTAACATTAGTCCCACAATAGACATTTGTGTCCGGAAAATACCCAGACAAAACATCAACAGACATTTGTGTTATACAGTCGTTGAGCTCGAAATGGTATTTTTTGTCAGCTATTTAGTGCAAGCACTTAGTGTTCAACCCTCGTCAACTAAAAATAACATGAGTTTGAATACAAATTGAATTGTCAGAACTGGGGAAATTTTGTCTCGTACACAAATGTCTCGGAAATTTGTAAGCTTTTGGACTATTTTGTTTGGGACACAACCTTCTCTTGACACAATTTTCAATGCAACTAACCAAGATCTTAGCTTAAGCTATAGAGAGAAATAATGGTTAGAAACTTATAGGTTAAATTTTCACAGGTGGTCGAGAAAAATTTCGCCTGCATTAGTGCCTGAAATTGCATCAATGTCCCTTTCAACCAGTGTCATTAGATCTGTTTCTTTGTTCTCGGTTGAATTTTGACCAAACTTGGCCTCAAACGTTTTCAAGTTTTCGTCAGCCTCTTCTCTTTCTAATTGAAACAAATTGATCAGAATATCAAAGCAATCTGAGTTGCTAGGATTCATCAGCACTCCGTGGTGGGCAAACTTTAAAGCATGAATACGGAAGAACTTGGCAAATGTTTGCTGTAAGCAACAATGTGCAGCTTCAGCACATTTATCAGCAATCAAGATTCTTTTATCTGCTAAAACAGTTTTCGGATCATTTTGCTGAAATTCGATTTGATATTCGTTTGTTAGTGTCTCTAGTAAGTTTTGTAGTTCTAGGATTTCTTTCATCGCAATCGATAATTGACACATTACATTATGGTCAGAATTCTGAAACAAAACTGAACCTTAATTTTTTTCATAAAATTAGCGCTGACTCACCGTCCTACTGATACATAATTGAAGCAAAAATTTAGCAGGTATAATACTAGAAAAAAATTTTTTTCTACAAATCGATCTTTTTTTTGTCGCCAATAGAGAACACGCAAGCTGTATGACTTAAATTTTTCAAACTTTTGCTCACATTGCAAAATTGCAACAGTTAGATTAAAATAAAACTTATCTGATATTCATCGAATAAATTCTTCTATTTTGCAGTAGCCAGACCAACTTTTTTATTGTGTTTGGTTGATTAGGCAAATCCAACAAAACAAAGCCGAAGGCTTAATTTGGCTCATATGTTAACTTGTTTCACCTATTTATATTCAATGCGCTCAAGATATTTACCATAAAATTTCTCAAATGATATATAAAATTGGTTGTCCCATGAGTAGGAATAATCTTTGGTCCTAGTTTGAAAGACAAAAGAAGAGTCGTAACCAAATATGTACAAAACAATGTTTTGCAAAAATTTTGGTTGAAAACAAACAGCAAATTACCTGGTGAGCTCCAATCAAGTCCAACTTTTGAACTGCTCCAACTCGATTTTTGAGATTCGTCCAGGTCCAGTTTTCATACACTCGTATAAGGTTGAAACATTTCTCGGGTACTACATAATCCGATAATTCACCATGATCATATGATTTAGTGGCGTTAACTTTTTCCTGCTCCAGTTTTGTTTTTGATTTTTGGCAGATATCGATAACTGTTTCGTTCAAGCTTGAGAGATCTGGATTCAGCCAGAGAGACCATTTTGCGTACTGGATGCATAGGTACGAATAATCGAATTTGTCATTTTGAACAATGATTTTCAATTGTTTATGCAAGGAGTTAGAACAGTACTGAAGCATATCTGCTACCTTTTGCCTAGTAGCTACTGCTTGCTTTCTATCCCCACATTTTACGTGTTCAAAATATTCTAGGAAAAGCAACTCGAATGCTTCTAAGTGACATTCAAAAAGGTTGAATTCATTAGAAAAGTCTCCGGGACGCGCATCTACGTGAGCTTTGAGTACTGCTATCAAATCCCTCATTTCACTTAAATTACACTTGATACCATCTGTAATTCTCCTTTGGTACTGATCTAATTGAGGACATAGCACCAAAGGTCTGTTACAAAGTGCGTCTGTTTGATTTTGAAGGCCTTTACAGAATTGACTTATATCAAACAAAGGAACCGTCATATAGGTAAATTCTATAACAAAACAATTACTTGAGCCTCCAGAAACTGATCGATTCAATAATTGGAAACTGAGTCTGTCGAATCTATTTTCCACAACAAATAGGAACGCGGCAATGCACTGCTGTTGATACCATTTCAGGGCCTCATCTGAACTCGTTTTTGCTTTATTTGTTAGATTCAGCACCGTTGTACTTTTTGCCTTAAAAGAGTACTGCTTAACTTCATTCGTTGAGCACCAACTTAGGCAACGTTGCGTAACTTCAGTCTCCTCCAAGCAAGTCAATTTTGGCATATTGCCAATAATGACAATAATTTTGTCTGGTCGACAAATTTCATCGTCTTCTAACACCGCCGTGATGTAATTTGAACAATTTTTTTCAGTAATATAAAATCTTCGGTTTTTTCTGGTGAGGTACAGCGACGTTCCATGCGATGAAAAGAAAAGAACAAGAATCTTTTTTAGTTTTTTTCTACTCATATGGAAAATTTCTCTGCAAAAACTCTGTAAATGTGCTAATTTTTCTGCTGTACGCAACAAAAATTAGCTTGCTCAAAATTACAGTCAACGCTGCGGACGTGGTTTCAAGGAAAAAAAATCAAAATATTTCATTTGAAATTTAAGCAACTTTTTTGTTTTGCAGTGTTGAAAGTTTTTTCAGCAAAAAAAAGAAATCATTTTTTTTCTCCTATATTTCCCTACCTTCGTCGTAATTAAGATATTGTTTTTAAGTTTTTAAGGGTAATAACTAAGACAAATATCTCCTTACTCTATATAATCTTCTAAATATCTATTTAGAAGCTTATGCAAATTTAACAAATTTAATCTCTATGAGAGCTAAGAAACTCTAACAAAACAGTGGTTTTACCAACTGCAAAGTTTTATATAAGCTCCGCCAAGTTATCAAAGAACTTAAACAACGGTTCAAACATACTGGTATACAATTCGCTTGATGATAGATAGAGCGTAAAGTTAATCTCCTCCAAAAACAAAAAAGCTTTAGAGCGATTTCTCACGTGACCTATACATTTAGTTGTACTTTAGATTCAGGCCGTAGTATTGTTGGTACGTAAAAATGTGAACTTAAAAAATCTCTCAAAAATTGTACGTACATTGACTCATTAAATCGATAAAACTAAAAGACCAGAGTGAGTTAGGACCGATGGGTATAACTCATAGAGTAATTTCGGATAGGGTACACCGTCTGCTCGTCACGCTATCTTATTTTCGGCCGGATAGATTCGTGCAACTTCTTAGTCTAATACCGATCCTAATCTTACTCTTATACTATCTAGTCTCAGGTTGTTTAACTAGTCTCTGCTAGGCTCAATAGATCTAGGGTATACTGGTTTATTGCGGCTGCTGAAGTACTCGGGAGAGTTCAACTAATTTCTAAGTTAAATTCAAATCTCTCTGGTGCTGAAATTACAAGTAATTTCAGCACTTACAAATAAGTGGATTGTTAGTTAGATGGATCATGATTGGTTAATATTAAATACTTTACATTGGTAAAATATCTAATTTATCCAATCATAAAATGTAGTTTAGATCAGGTTCCACCCATCCGGGTTTTACAGAGTTTTTTAGAATAGATTTTCTGCAATTCGAAAGATGGATGATGGACGTTGGTATTTGGCGAACATCTTATTTCTTCTGGGTTTTCTTATTAGAGAAGTCCCAGATTCAATCATTGTGTCTTCTCAAGACAACGACTGGGTTTTCGCAACAAACTCAAATCTGATTTCAGAATGGTTGGCTATGTCAGGTTTTTCTGTTTCATTGGTGAGAACTTCTTTGTGTTTGACCTTGTCTGGGAATGGCGTGGAGATTGTGCGTGGAGGGGATGCCTGGTTACTCGGATCTGTACGTATACTTGAACATCGAGGTGGTCATTGGTCTAGTTCAATGAAGTCCTTTTCTGCGAAGTCAAGTCGTACTCTAAATCCTTTGAGTTGTGATTGTGGGCGGCATATTGATTGTAGTTGGCCATTCTTTCTCGAGTGTAGTAGGGTCGTTTTGTCTTTGGATGTTCGTCCTTGGTGTTGTATTCTGATCTATGTATTGCATAATGTAATTTACATTTTATAAAACTTTTATTAGTTTAATATTTTTTAATTATGATTTTAGTTAGTTGTTTTCACAAAAGCTTTTTGTTTTAGTTCAGTTATTTTGAAGAGTTACTCACCCTTGAGTAGCTCTTATTAAAAATAGGAGTGTGGTCACAAAGCGTGGATGTAGCACGGTGGGTTAGGCCGGCTATAGAGCATGCTCAGGACGTCCTTCCTGGTGGGTTAGGCCAGGAGTGGGAGTATGATTGCATGCGGTTTTTGTGAGAGGTCCTGTTATGTGACAACGTTTTATGTTGGGTTTGTTGTGGTTTTTCTTATGTTTTGTTGGTTGTGTCCTTTTTTCAAAAATCAAATTGTTTGTGGTATGGGTTTGTCTTTCGACTTTTTTGTGTTTTATTATTTCTTTCTTAGACTTTATAATAGTCTTCAAAAGAATAAATTATCCAGTTTTAAACTGGGTTAATCCGGTTTGGGTACCGTTGGTTTCCTTTTCTTTGTCATGCTGTTATGCTATGTGTTGTGGTGTTTAGTAAGCTGCATTGGTTAGTGTTGTTTAGTATATGATTCCTTTCCAACCGGGTTAAAGGAAAGTTTGAAACGTGTTATCTTGTGTTAGAGTTATCGAGTGTGAAAGCTTGAAACTGAAATTCATTATTTTAAACAATTCTTCGTGGGCGAGCTGTGCGAGTTTGGATAGAATTTTTATGCGAGTGAATGAAAATATCAAAAGGTTAGTACTGCTTTTGCTTCTTATGAATTTACTACATAGAGTTTTAATTTTACTGCTAGTTGTTGGGGGGAATTAAGTTACAAATTTTCATCATTATTAGATTTACTGCTGGTGGGGGAAAAATTTATAAATTAATTTACTGCATTGGTATTATATTTATTTAATTGTTGGTGCAAAAATTTAATAGGGTCGTAAACAGTTTTGAAGAAGTTTGCTATTTTTTATTTTTCTTTTGTGAATTTTTCAGATGATCTAGGATGAAGGCTAAAATTCTAAAGAAAACATGGATAAAGAATGGTGAGTTTCTAATGTTTGAATTAATTAGTATTATGTATAATTCATACTTACCTGTTAGTCGTCGGGGAAGAAACCGTGGGGGAAAATGTCGTGGATGAGATCTGAAGTTGTTAGTAGTTTGGCTAATATGCGGATGATATTTTTAGTTTGAAGCAGTGGCCAAAGCAATTGAAGTGCCTTAATGGTGGTTAGTTCTTCAGTGCCAACTGCAAATTCATAAGGTGTGTTTTGGATTAGATTATATAATTTGTGGTTGAATTTAGTGTTATGGATGAATTCTAAAATGGGGATTTCTATAGGTTGTACAAACTCGTGTGGGATGAGGAAGGGTCGGGATTCTTCTGCGTTGAAGGTCTTGGTGATGGGACAAAAGATATACATTTGGGTTATGGGATCATAATTTCGAAGAATACCATGAAGGTTAGTATCTTTAATGCAATATGTGAAGTTAAGAAAGAATGGTGAGGTGTATTTGGAATTGATGAATTGAAAACGATGGTGTGGTTGTCTGGAGGGAGTGTGTAGGTCAAAGTGATTTTGGATGAAACGATAATAAGTATATGTGTGTGTTTGTTTAGTGCGCAACATAATATCGTGTGAGCAGTGCAAATCTCTTTCATGTGGTGCAAGGAAACGAAAGGTTAGTGAAAATATTTGGAAGCGTTCTTTAAAACTTTCGTAGGCTTGCGTGTCTGTTAGTGCTTCTGAGATAATGTGGTCAAACTTGCGATCGAAGATATTTAGTGTAAATACATATGGTGTTTTAATGAAAAATTTCTCGGTGATTTGTGGGTTAGCGAAGCGATCGTCGTCTAAGAATTGATCTTGGTTAGTTCTGATGATGTTATGATCGTAATATTCTAGTGTATATTCATTAGCTCGGGGTGCAGTGTGTGTTTTTAGTGATTTTTTGTATCCAATGTAAGTAAATTGTCTAGGTGTTAGTGGTGTAGTGAGTCGATATAGCATGTCCTTATTTCGTTCTATATCGATATGAGTGTTAGATAAAGGTAAGCAAAGGGGATTTGTAAAATGATAATATGAGGTCCAAGGAAGGGTAGGCATTAAAACGTATTCGTCTACAAAGTTACGTGTCTCGTTAGTGTCATGAGGGGTGTTTAAGGTGTATTGTGGAAATGAGGGTAAGGTGATAGCTAAAAATTCTTTTGTGTTAGTGTGTTGTGGATGGTTGATGTATTCACGGGCTGTTCCTGGTTTCGCTGGGAAAGGATGGTTGGGGAACTTCCTTTTAAAAGTGCGGTAAGCTCTATTAGTGCTGAGTGAAGATACAGTAGTTGTGGATGATGGTGCTAATGAATCAGTATAAATTGAAGAGGGTGTAGGGGTAGGAGGGTTGGATGAATCTATTGTGGATGAGATTTGGTTTATGGTTGGGGTGTCAAGGTGATAGGATTGTTGTTGTAAGGTAATGAAATTATCTAGTTCTGGGGAGATTCGGGGGGTGTCTGAAGAATGAGATGATTGGTTTGAGTGAAGTGAGGAGTAGGTTGGAGTGACTTGGGAAGCATAAGAGGGTGTAGAATTGGTTGGGTCAGGGTTATTTGGTAGTATGGGTTGAAAAGGGGGTTGGGAAAAATTTAAGGGATTGGTGTGAAAATTATTTGATGGAGATGGTTCGGAGTCGGCAAATTCATCGGGGGTTTCAATATTCGGGTTATTGAGTTGTGAGATGGAGTATAAAACTGAGATGTGTGAGTTAGTATCGGAATTCATGCCGGATGTTACATTACTGGATGGGAAATCGGGTGGCGGAAAAGCAAAAAGTGGTATTATTGGGATTGGAGTGGTGAGGTTGGTTGGGTGGGAATTTGATCGGTGTAGGGATCCAAGTTGTCGGCTCATCGTGGGCTAAAAAAATTATTATTTTGAGACTGAAAAGCGGTGGTATGGGGTTGTTCTATAATTTGTTCATAAGTATTTTCATCTTGTG